ATATATATATATATATATATATGTATATATATGTGTGTGTATATATAGATATATACATATATGTATGGGGTGTGGGGTGCTGTTGTTATGGATTGCTGCTTAACAGAGTGTACAGAAATAAGGTGATCAGTACTTTTCACTGCAATGTAATCAGATCATGTCGTACCATTAGCTGAGTTTGTTTTACTAAGTGCTGTAACGTGCATTTAGTAAATCACTCATTCAGAAATAAACGGTCATGCACCATTTGCTGACTGGCAACTTTAACACCTATTCATCTGTTTCACATGTAGATGGCAGGTGTGTTGAGTTGGTCTTTGGGGTATTAATACAGATGTTCCCTTCAGTTTCATCTCACCTGCTGCCTCTGAAGGCATAATACTGCTCCTCTGCATCTCCACTTTTATCTCCGTCTCTTCAAACTGTGCTGGTGAGGTGTTCTCTTTTTCGTCTTGTCTGTTCCCTATAAAATGAGCTATGCTTGCTTCTTTCCATATTCACATCATTTCAGGCTGATCTCTTGTTTTATGTGTGAGCCACTCAAGTTTTTTCTTTTTCTTTTTCCTTTACCTTCTATTTTAATCGTTTTATGTTTACCTTTTATGTTATTTTCAGTTCTTACTTATCTTCTTTTGATTTATTGATTTATTTTGTGTGTGTGTACCCAGCTCTTCTCTATTATGGCGACGCTGTGGATACAAACTGCTGCTCTCATGGTCTTACTGGTCATGTCATGCCCTAGCTCTCAAGCCATTGCTGCACAGCGTCTGTGTGGTTCTCATCTGGTTGATGCCCTCTCTTTCGTGTGTGGAGACAGAGGTTTTTACTTCTCCCCTGCAACCAATTACAACACTAAGCGCGGTGAGGTTTTTTTTAACAAGCAAAGTGTTTTTTGAAATTATGTTACTTTTTAAAATAACAATGAGTATGTTTTTATCAGCTGGATAACTTTTATCTTTCATAGTATTTCTTATTCTGTGCCGTCCATCCAAATGCAGGTAATGCAGCATCAGCTGTGACAGGAAATAAGGATCCATCCTCTGGGGACCAGATCGGAGTGGTGCCATCGCAGAATATTCTGGATGCTTGCTGCTACAAGCCCTGCAACCTATATGACTTGCAGAATTACTGCCACTGAAATTGGAGTACAAACACTAGCTCTTAGCAATGTCGCTGTTTGCGTAGCATAGCTTAGCTTGTTTGCTAACACTCTGTAAAATCTGCCCATAATATGTCAATGTAGAACTGGAAACATGCTGTTAGCAAGCGGTTATTAAAGGATTCTATTTAGAAATTGTTATTTTTACTTTTTAATAAACGTTGATCAGCTGAGAAAAAGAGTGGTTATTGTTTCAACTCAAAACTTATATGTTTTTAACTATTTTGTAATGATTAAAAGCTAAATAATTCTAAAGTGTTATAACATTTATTTGGCAATAAAAAAAATATGCTTTAGAAAACGTTTCACCACCAGTTGTATTTAGTTTATTTTTCAGTTCAATTTTATTTAAACAGAGTAGTGAGAAAAGCTTTATTTAAAACTGAAAAACATGCCTTCTCATGGCTTATATGCAGTATTTGCCCCCAGTCACCGTATTTTTCGGCCTATGAGTCACAATTTTTTTGTATAATTTACATGCCCTGCGACTTATACAACGAAGCAACATGTTTGTTTCTCCCCCCCTATATTTATAAACCAATTTTTAGCTGAGATATGATCGTTTTCATTCATTCTGGCTGGAAATATTGAACATTACCATTTTCAGCCACAAGATGGCACTTGAGTAGTATGGCATGCTGTTGTGTCATGTAATTGGTAAAGGTGGCTATTAATGACACAATCGGCTTGGCATAGCATGACACCTTCATCCAGCTGTGGAATCATGCCTGGAGCAACTGTCAACTCAGCTTCATTTTGCTGCACCGCCCTGGTGAAATGCAGCTAATTTGACCTTTGAAGTGCTTTTATTAAATAAAAGTTCAACTGAGACACACCCTTGCTATAATGTTGAGCGAACAAATAATTGTTTTAAGTGCTCATCTTAAGTTTTGAAGAAATGTGCAGCTTTCTTCCTTCCTGATTTCCTCCTTCTGCATGCTCCCGGAGCACCGAGGCAGCAAATACTTTTGAAATACAGCTGATTTGACTGTCAAAGTGCATTTATTAAAGAAAAGTTAGACTGAGAAACACCTCAGCTATAATTTTGAGCAAACAAATAATTGTTTTTAAGTGTTAACTTTGTTAAATTTTTGTTAAGATCCTCCAATGCATGCTCCTGCATCTGCCATTTGACAGCCAATTGATTTTTGGCACAGCATCGGCCCACATTTCTGGGTTGTCATTGGTGATGCGTAACAAATGCGACGTGTCAGTGGTGACGCATAATAGATGCGACTTGTACGGTGATGTGATGTGTACGGCGGAAAATACAGTAATCCTGATGGATTCTTCTTTGTTGAAACATTTTGTTTTATCCAGGCTGAAGTCTTTTGGATACAAGATGAAAATTTTCAACAAATTATCTATCCAGAGGACCTGACTCAACCTTGTTAGGTGTCCCTATTTATGTTTTATATGAAGCTAAATATTGTAAAACTACAGAAATATATTTCTATAAAAAAAAACTTTCAATAGTTGAGATACAATAAGTTTTAATATTTAGCATTAGCAGGCCCACAAGTTGAACTAATCCAATAAAGAGCACTTTAAACACAGAATTGTAGTCCACAGAAGCTGATTTTTAAGTTGTTACATGTTGCAAAAAATACAAAACTAAGGTACAGTATATGCTGATTTGTAAATTGAAGATTTGTGCTGGGTAGTTGCTGGCCATATTTTTTCTTTCTCTGAAATAACAAAGTGTAAAAGTTGTCTATATCTGGCGGTCAAGGCTTGAAGTATCTACAAAACCTCCCTGAGCCTGTATTCTTACCTTGGTACCTATTATCCAACATGTTTACTGTGATCTGTGTCTTTAACACCCTATCTGCAGAGCAGGACATGATAAACCCATTACCTCAGAAGCATCCTGATGTCCTGTCTCCTTCTACATTAGGATAACTTCTGGAGGTGTAGGCCATCTTTTTTTTTGTTGTTGTTTTCCATGCTCATCACATAATCACTGAAATTACCAACAGTACTTCAGACCATACAGTCTTGTGAAGACTGCTGCAGTAATTCAAAGGAGACTGCAGAAAAAATAAATAAATAAATAGCAGTCAAATCTGCATACCATGGCCTTTCAGATAGTACACTCTGACTTCAATGACTCTTTGGCCCATCATGGGCATTATTTTAGTTTTTTTTTTATTATTATTATTATTGTTAGTTGTATTGTAGAGACACTGACAAGAAAATTATTCTGAATAGACATGTACATACAAACTTTACCAACTGTAAAGACATACTGATAAAATGGTGTTCTTCTCATTTAGTAACCATGTTTACAAATACATTATACTTTGAGGGTTGTAGAGCTGGCTATGAAGAACATACACACACACACACATATCTATATATATATATATATATATATATATATATATATATATAATGTATTTATACACACACAGACACACACACGCGTGTGTTTTAAGTCTGACGGTGTATGGTTGAGAATAGCCCTGTCCATCAAAACAACATAAAAAAGTACGTGTTAGCTGTTTGCTTAGGTGAAAATGATATGAGTGGCTACTTTTTTATGAGCTTTAAGAATCTTATTTTAAGATAAGAGTATTACAAAAATGTGTAAATGATATGAACTTCAAAAGGTTTTCATGTTGAGGTATAAATAAATTAGGTATTATTATTATTACTATTATTATTATTAGACAATAAACTGTTTTGTATATTTGTCTGCTAGGTTCGGATAGGGACTGGATAGGTAAGTTGGGGTGGAACAATGTTTTTGCATGTGAACATTAATATTTAGTAGAGACCAGCACTTCCCCCTGCTGGCTACCCTGCAGATCTAGTAAAGTTTTTTTTGTGTCTTTGAACGATTATCAAGAATTTAAAAAGCTGAGATAAAATATTTACATTTATGACCAAGGAGAAGGGGGGAAAAACATACTTTGACATATTTAAAAGTAAAGCCTTAAAAGAATCAAAAACAACATGTTTGTGTAATATTCTGATTGTACCCACCTTAATAGAGAATGGCGTCTTAATGCTGTGTTCTGTTAGGAGTGGGGAGTCAAGTTAACTTTATATTAGTATTATATTATCAATAAGTTCTGAAATACCATTTGTAAACATATTAAATACATTTTTCATTTTGCCTTTTAATTTACTTACACGTCTCTCTGCTCACCAACTGCAATTTCCTCTCTGCACATTTTTTTTCATATGTATATGCAGTATTCAATTTTTTCTATGCGTCTCTGCTCCCACTTTTATTACCCCTCCGTGCATGTGCAATGTCATCATTAATATGTAAAGAACTAGCTTTACTGGACACCAGTCACTCAGGCTGTCAGCCAGCTGCCTCTCTGTCACTCAGCTGGATGATCAGCAGCTCAAATTAATCTTAAATGACTCGTGTGGATGCTCTGATTGATTTCTCAACTACTTATATTTTTAGCTTTTTTTTTTTTGTCTGCTTTTACATTTACTATATGCGCAAGGATTGTAGACATGCAAAGCTCAGAAGATAGCATATCCATAGTGACACTGTTTGTTCATTGCAGACACAAAAACATAGTTAATATTAATCATCTTTCAATTCTCACCATAGCATCAATAGCAGCACACTATGAGAAACATACAATCCCACGTATTGAAACTGCTGGACATTTGCATACTTTTATCAGCACTTCAAGGAGATGATAGATACATTTCTATAACTGGTGCAGAGAGGGTTATGCATAAAAAGATGTGGAGTGGCATATAAAGCAAAGGGACTGTTTCCCCATTTCGGCCATGATTACATTCTGTTCAGGCCTGGTTGCAGAGAGAAGTGGGAAGATCAAGCTTCGGCCACAGAATATGAATTTTATATCTGCAATGCAGTCAGAAGGTGTTTTCTTCTTTTCACACTGGACAGGTGAAATCATTTGCTTCTGTGGGGCAACTGATTTAAATGAATTCCAGCTAATGATAACACATCACTAATTTATTTCCACTTTGGACAAATTGCATGGCTGCAGTTTTATGTTGCCATGTTTCACCATATAATAACTATTTCTGACTTTGCTTCATATAAATACAAGACACTCAGGGTCAAACATACTGTTGCATTGAGAGATTTTACACAGTGCAATCCGGTTGAAACAAAATCAAAAACAGATCAGGGCCACGGAACTGACTGTGCAACCAGCAAGGTGCTGCTAATTTAAAGCGCTCAATCAGAACGATAAGAGGGAAGAAACAAACTGTATTTATTGTGAAGAGGAAGGAAATTCAGTTCAGCAGACTCAAGATGGCTAAGGTAGGACAGAATGCTTTTAAGAGGCCAATACAATTTTAAGTAATCATAACATCTTAACGTCTTATCTAAAAACGATGCAGAAAATCGGTTTCATGCATTTATCATGTCTAGACTGGACTATCGCAATGGTTTGTCACCTGGGTGTCAAAATACTTGTTTAAAAAGTCTTCAGTTGATCCAAAATGCTGCTGCCAGAGTCTTAACTGGAGTTAGTAGGAGAGATCATATCTCTCCAGTTTTAGCTTTTCTCCATTGCCTCCCTGTTAAATCCAGAAAATAATTCAAAATCTTACTTCTAACCTACAAAGCCCTCAACAACCTAGCTCCATCTTATATTTAAGATCTTATTGTTCCATATTTTCCTAACAGAGCACGTCACTCTCAAACTGCAGGCTTACTTGTGGTTCCTAGAGTTTTCAAAAGCAGAATGGGAGGAAGATCATTCAGTTATCAGGCTCCTCTCTTGTAGAACCAACTTCCAATTTCTGTCCATAAGGCTGACACATTGTCCAGTTTTAAGATTGGGCTTAAGACTTTCCTTTTTGATAAATCCTATAGTTAGGGTTGGCTTGTTATGCTGTTATAGGCTTAGACTGCTAGAGGACACATTGACCTCATTCCTTAAATTAATTATTAAAATTGAATAGTTTTCATTTTATGCTATTTATATCTTAACATGTGATTCTTTACCTGCCATTGTGTATCTGTTCCTACCAAACCAAGCTGGTCGCAGCAGATGGCCGCTTGTCCTGAGCCTGGTTCTGCTAAATGTTTCTTCCTCATGTTTTTCCTTTCCACTGTCGCCTTCATGCTTACTCAAAATGAGAGTTCTGTGATGGAGTTAAACTCAAAGCAGTCTGCTCCTCAGATAAATAATGTTAACTTACTATTTATAT